ACCTATTGTATTTTATGACCCTAGACATCAATGAATGTGAACTTTCAAGCAAAAACAACTGCTCTGCTAATGCCATATGCAATAATTTGGTCGGTGGATACAACTGCACATGTAAAAGTGGGTTCAATACTAGTGACGGAGGAATAGAATCTCTTTCAAATCAGTGTTTAGGTAATATAATTGAAGACAAGTATGTTATATTTTGTTGTCAACTTATTTTTTCTAAAACAATATTGCATTTTTTGATGTAATCGTTTCTTTTGAATATGTTACATAAGCATTGCAACTAACAAGTTTTTGTATGCTTATAGACGTTAATGAATGTGTTTTGTCAAACAAAAACAACTGCTCAGTTAATGCGACCTGTAACAATTTTGCTGGCGGATACAACTGCACATGTAAAAGTGGGTTCAACACAAGTAACGGTGGAATAGAATCTCTTTCAAACCAGTGTTTGGGTAATAATATAAGTGATAAATTGTTAGTTATTTTTTTGTTGCTAAATACTTTAGAGCACTTTAGCATTTACGATATACAAGTTTCTGTTTCAATATGTTGCAAAAACCAACAATATATTTTATGCTTACAGACATTAATGAGTGTGCTTTGTCAAACAAAAACAACTGCTCAGTTAATGCAATCTGTAACAATTTTGTTGGTGGATATAATTGCACATGTAAAAGTGGTTTCAACACAAGTAGCGGTGGAGTAGAGGCGCTCCTGAGCCAATGTCTTGGTAATAAAACTTATATTTGAACACATATTTATATTTTTATTTGTGATTAAGCTGTTACTGCCGTTTTAGTAATTTGCATGCTTCTGTTTTAATTAGTCCCACAAAAAAACGATTTGATCAAAACAATTTTTTGTAAATTGGTTTTACTTGCTTGAAGCCCTATAAATCAGCGTGAAAAGGAGCAAAAGTGTCTCAAAGCATTAACAATAAATGACAGCCCGTGAAAGTTTGTCATTTCTGCAAGATTTATTGTCGCGCTGTTTTCAATAGCGTTGTTTGCGTAGAAAGAAACAAGTTTTTTTTGTTCTTTTTTCGACACAAAATGTCTACAGTATATTAGGCTTTTAAACAACGTTGAAAAAAGCGTAGTATGCGAAACTTTAGTTAAAAGAGAATGCATGCGCAAAGAAACCATTTGAAATGCTTTCGTCAAAAAAACAGTATGGAAGATAAAGGAGGCGGAAAACATGTTCTATTCCTCCTATGCTTTTTTTAAACCAAAGCGAACAACTAAAAGAAAAAAAAAAAGTTTTGTATATTTATTGTTTTAGAGCGTTGTTATATCTCAGTAAAAATTCATGAAACCTATTGTATTTTATGACCCTAGACATCAATGAATGTGAACTTTCAAGCAAAAACAACTGCTCTGCTAATGCCATATGCAATAATTTGGTCGGTGGATACAACTGCACATGTAAAAGTGGGTTCAATACTAGTGACGGAGGAATAGAATCTCTTTCAAATCAGTGTTTAGGTAATATAATTGAAGACAAGTATGTTATATTTTGTTGTCAACTTATTTTTTCTAAAACAATATTGCATTTTTTGATGTAATCGTTTCTTTTGAATATGTTACATAAGCATTGCAACTAACAAGTTTTTGTATGCTTATAGACGTTAATGAATGTGTTTTGTCAAACAAAAACAACTGCTCAGTTAATGCGACCTGTAACAATTTTGCTGGCGGATACAACTGCACATGTAAAAGTGGGTTCAACACAAGTAACGGTGGAATAGAATCTCTTTCAAACCAGTGTTTGGGTAATAATATAAGTGATAAATTGTTAGTTATTTTTTTGTTGCTAAATACTTTAGAGCACTTTAGCATTTACGATATACAAGTTTCTGTTTCAATATGTTGCAAAAACCAACAATATATTTTATGCTTACAGACATTAATGAGTGTGCTTTGTCAAACAAAAACAACTGCTCAGTTAATGCAATCTGTAACAATTTTGTTGGTGGATATAATTGCACATGTAAAAGCGGTTTCAACACAAGTAGCGGTGGAGTAGAGGCGCTCCTGAGCCAATGTCTTGGTAATAAAACTTATATTTGAACACATATTTATATTTTTATTTGTGATTAAGCTGTTACTGCCGTTTTAGTAATTTGCATGCTTCTGTTTTAATTAGTCCCACAAAAAAACGATTTGATCAAAACAATTTTTTGTAAATTGGTTTTACTTGCTTGAAGCCCTATAAATCAGCGTGAAAAGGAGCAAAAGTGTCTCAAAGCATTAACAATAAATGACAGCCCGTGAAAGTTTGTCATTTCTGCAAGATTTATTGTCGCGCTGTTTTCAATAGCGTTGTTTGCGTAGAAAGAAACAAGTTTTTTTTGTTCTTTTTTCGACACAAAATGTCTACAGTATATTAGGCTTTTAAACAACGTTGAAAAAAGCGTAGTATGCGAAACTTTAGTTAAAAGAGAATGCATGCGCAAAGAAACCATTTGAAATGCTTTCGTCAAAAAAACAGTATGGAAGATAAAGGAGGCGGAAAACATGTTCTATTCCTCCTATGCTTTTTTTAAACCAAAGCGAACAACTAAAAGAAAAAAAAAAAGTTTTGTATATTTATTGTTTTAGAGCGTTGTTATATCTCAGTAAAAATTCATGAAACCTATTGTATTTTATGACCCTAGACATCAATGAATGTGAACTTTCAAGCAAAAACAACTGCTCTGCTAATGCCATATGCAATAATTTGGTCGGTGGATACAACTGCACATGTAAAAGTGGGTTCAATACTAGTGACGGAGGAATAGAATCTCTTTCAAATCAGTGTTTAGGTAATATAATTGAAGACAAGTATGTTATATTTTGTTGTCAACTTATTTTTTCTAAAACAATATTGCATTTTTTGATGTAATCGTTTCTTTTGAATATGTTACATAAGCATTGCAACTAACAAGTTTTTGTATGCTTATAGACGTTAATGAATGTGTTTTGCCAAACAAAAACAACTGCTCAGTTAATGCGACCTGTAACAATTTTGCTGGCGGATACAACTGCACATGTAAAAGTGGGTTCAACACAAGTAACGGTGGAATAGAATCTCTTTCAAACCAGTGTTTGGGTAATAATATAAGTGATAAATTGTTAGTTATTTTTTTGTTGCTAAATACTTTAGAGCACTTTAGCATTTACGATATACAAGTTTCTGTTTCAATATGTTGCAAAAACCAACAATATATTTTATGCTTACAGACATTAATGAGTGTGCTTTGTCAAACAAAAACAACTGCTCAGTTAATGCAATCTGTAACAATTTTGTTGGTGGATATAATTGCACATGTAAAAGCGGTTTCAACACAAGTAGCGGTGGAGTAGAGGCGCTCCTGAGCCAATGTCTTGGTAATAAAACTTATATTTGAACACATATTTATATTTTTATTTGTGATTAAGCTGTTACTGCCGTTTTAGTAATTTGCATGCTTCTGTTTTAATTAGTCCCACAAAAAAACGATTTGATCAAAACAATTTTTTGTAAATTGGTTTTACTTGCTTGAAGCCCTATAAATCAGCGTGAAAAGGAGCAAAAGTGTCTCAAAGCATTAACAATAAATGACAGCCCGTGAAAGTTTGTCATTTCTGCAAGATTTATTGTCGCGCTGTTTTCAATAGCGTTGTTTGCGTAGAAAGAAACAAGTTTTTTTTGTTCTTTTTTCGACACAAAATGTCTACAGTATATTAGGCTTTTAAACAACGTTGAAAAAAGCGTAGTATGCGAAACTTTAGTTAAAAGGGAATGCATGCGCAAAGAAACCATTTGAAATGCTTTCGTCAAAAAAACAGTATGGAAGATAAAGGAGGCGGAAAACATGTTCTATTCCTCCTATGCTTTTTTTAAACCAAAGCGAACAACTAAAAGAAAAAAAAAAAGTTTTGTATATTTATTGTTTTAGAGCGTTGTTATATCTCAGTAAAAATTCATGAAACCTATTGTATTTTATGACCCTAGACATCAATGAATGTGAACTTTCAAGCAAAAACAACTGCTCTGCTAATGCCATATGCAATAATTTGGTCGGTGGATACAACTGCACATGTAAAAGTGGGTTCAATACTAGTGACGGAGGAATAGAATCTCTTTCAAATCAGTGTTTAGGTAATATAATTGAAGACAAGTATGTTATATTTTGTTGTCAACTTATTTTTTCTAAAACAATATTGCATTTTTTGATGTAATCGTTTCTTTTGAATATGTTACATAAGCATTGCAACTAACAAGTTTTTGTATGCTTATAGACGTTAATGAATGTGTTTTGTCAAACAAAAACAACTGCTCAGTTAATGCGACCTGTAACAATTTTGCTGGCGGATACAACTGCACATGTAAAAGTGGGTTCAACACAAGTAACGGTGGAATAGAATCTCTTTCAAACCAGTGTTTGGGTAATAATATAAGTGATAAATTGTTAGTTATTTTTTTGTTGCTAAATACTTTAGAGCACTTTAGCATTTACGATATACAAGTTTCTGTTTCAATATGTTGCAAAAACCAACAATATATTTTATGCTTACAGACATTAATGAGTGTGCTTTGTCAAACAAAAACAACTGCTCAGTTAATGCAATCTGTAACAATTTTGTTGGTGGATATAATTGCACATGTAAAAGTGGTTTCAACACAAGTAGCGGTGGAGTAGAGGCGCTCCTGAGCCAATGTCTTGGTAATAAAACTTATATTTGAACACATATTTATATTTTTATTTGTGATTAAGCTGTTACTGCCGTTTTAGTAATTTGCATGCTTCTGTTTTAATTAGTCCCACAAAAAAACGATTTGATCAAAACAATTTTTTGTAAATTGGTTTTACTTGCTTGAAGCCCTATAAATCAGCGTGAAAAGGAGCAAAAGTGTCTCAAAGCATTAACAATAAATGACAGCCCGTGAAAGTTTGTCATTTCTGCAAGATTTATTGTCGCGCTGTTTTCAATAGCGTTGTTTGCGTAGAAAGAAACAAGTTTTTTTTGTTCTTTTTTCGACACAAAATGTCTACAGTATATTAGGCTTTTAAACAACGTTGAAAAAAGCGTAGTATGCGAAACTTTAGTTAAAAGGGAATGCATGCGCAAAGAAACCATTTGAAATGCTTTCGTCAAAAAAACAGTATGGAAGATAAAGGAGGCGGAAAACATGTTCTATTCCTCCTATGCTTTTTTTAAACCAAAGCGAACAACTAAAAGAAAAAAAAAAAGTTTTGTATATTTATTGTTTTAGAGCGTTGTTATATCTCAGTAAAAATTCATGAAACCTATTGTATTTTATGACCCTAGACATCAATGAATGTGAACTTTCAAGCAAAAACAACTGCTCTGCTAATGCCATATGCAATAATTTGGTCGGTGGATACAACTGCACATGTAAAAGTGGGTTCAATACTAGTGACGGAGGAATAGAATCTCTTTCAAATCAGTGTTTAGGTAATATAATTGAAGACAAGTATGTTATATTTTGTTGTCAACTTATTTTTTCTAAAACAATATTGCATTTTTTGATGTAATCGTTTCTTTTGAATATGTTACATAAGCATTGCAACTAACAAGTTTTTGTATGCTTATAGACGTTAATGAATGTGTTTTGTCAAACAAAAACAACTGCTCAGTTAATGCGACCTGTAACAATTTTGCTGGCGGATACAACTGCACATGTAAAAGTGGGTTCAACACAAGTAACGGTGGAATAGAATCTCTTTCAAACCAGTGTTTGGGTAATAATATAAGTGATAAATTGTTAGTTATTTTTTTGTTGCTAAATACTTTAGAGCACTTTAGCATTTACGATATACAAGTTTCTGTTTCAATATGTTGCAAAAACCAACAATATATTTTATGCTTACAGACATTAATGAGTGTGCTTTGTCAAACAAAAACAACTGCTCAGTTAATGCAATCTGTAACAATTTTGTTGGTGGATATAATTGCACATGTAAAAGTGGTTTCAACACAAGTAGCGGTGGAGTAGAGGCGCTCCTGAGCCAATGTCTTGGTAATAAAACTTATATTTGAACACATATTTATATTTTTATTTGTGATTAAGCTGTTACTGCCGTTTTAGTAATTTGCATGCTTCTGTTTTAATTAGTCCCACAAAAAAACGATTTGATCAAAACAATTTTTTGTAAATTGGTTTTACTTGCTTGAAGCCCTATAAATCAGCGTGAAAAGGAGCAAAAGTGTCTCAAAGCATTAACAATAAATGACAGCCCGTGAAAGTTTGTCATTTCTGCAAGATTTATTGTCGCGCTGTTTTCAATAGCGTTGTTTGCGTAGAAAGAAACAAGTTTTTTTTGTTCTTTTTTCGACACAAAATGTCTACAGTATATTAGGCTTTTAAACAACGTTGAAAAAAGCGTAGTATGCGAAACTTTAGTTAAAAGAGAATGCATGCGCAAAGAAACCATTTGAAATGCTTTCGTCAAAAAAACAGTATGGAAGATAAAGGAGGCGGAAAACATGTTCTATTCCTCCTATGCTTTTTTTAAACCAAAGCGAACAACTAAAAGAAAAAAAAAAAGTTTTGTATATTTATTGTTTTAGAGCGTTGTTATATCTCAGTAAAAATTCATGAAACCTATTGTATTTTATGACCCTAGACATCAATGAATGTGAACTTTCAAGCAAAAACAACTGCTCTGCTAATGCCATATGCAATAATTTGGTCGGTGGATACAACTGCACATGTAAAAGTGGGTTCAATACTAGTGACGGAGGAATAGAATCTCTTTCAAATCAGTGTTTAGGTAATATAATTGAAGACAAGTATGTTATATTTTGTTGTCAACTTATTTTTTCTAAAACAATATTGCATTTTTTGATGTAATCGTTTCTTTTGAATATGTTACATAAGCATTGCAACTAACAAGTTTTTGTATGCTTATAGACGTTAATGAATGTGTTTTGTCAAACAAAAACAACTGCTCAGTTAATGCGACCTGTAACAATTTTGCTGGCGGATACAACTGCACATGTAAAAGTGGGTTCAACACAAGTAACGGTGGAATAGAATCTCTTTCAAACCAGTGTTTGGGTAATAATATAAGTGATAAATTGTTAGTTATTTTTTTGTTGCTAAATACTTTAGAGCACTTTAGCATTTACGATATACAAGTTTCTGTTTCAATATGTTGCAAAAACCAACAATATATTTTATGCTTACAGACATTAATGAGTGTGCTTTGTCAAACAAAAACAACTGCTCAGTTAATGCAATCTGTAACAATTTTGTTGGTGGATATAATTGCACATGTAAAAGTGGTTTCAACACAAGTAGCGGTGGAGTAGAGGCGCTCCTGAGCCAATGTCTTGGTAATAAAACTTATATTTGAACACATATTTATATTTTTATTTGTGATTAAGCTGTTACTGCCGTTTTAGTAATTTGCATGCTTCTGTTTTAATTAGTCCCACAAAAAAACGATTTGATCAAAACAATTTTTTGTAAATTGGTTTTACTTGCTTGAAGCCCTATAAATCAGCGTGAAAAGGAGCAAAAGTGTCTCAAAGCATTAACAATAAATGACAGCCCGTGAAAGTTTGTCATTTCTGCAAGATTTATTGTCGCGCTGTTTTCAATAGCGTTGTTTGCGTAGAAAGAAACAAGTTTTTTTTGTTCTTTTTTCGACACAAAATGTCTACAGTATATTAGGCTTTTAAACAACGTTGAAAAAAGCGTAGTATGCGAAACTTTAGTTAAAAGAGAATGCATGCGCAAAGAAACCATTTGAAATGCTTTCGTCAAAAAAACAGTATGGAAGATAAAGGAGGCGGAAAACATGTTCTATTCCTCCTATGCTTTTTTTAAACCAAAGCGAACAACTAAAAGAAAAAAAAAAAGTTTTGTATATTTATTGTTTTAGAGCGTTGTTATATCTCAGTAAAAATTCATGAAACCTATTGTATTTTATGACCCTAGACATCAATGAATGTGAACTTTCAAGCAAAAACAACTGCTCTGCTAATGCCATATGCAATAATTTGGTCGGTGGATACAACTGCACATGTAAAAGTGGGTTCAATACTAGTGACGGAGGAATAGAATCTCTTTCAAATCAGTGTTTAGGTAATATAATTGAAGACAAGTATGTTATATTTTGTTGTCAACTTATTTTTTCTAAAACAATATTGCATTTTTTGATGTAATCGTTTCTTTTGAATATGTTACATAAGCATTGCAACTAACAAGTTTTTGTATGCTTATAGACGTTAATGAATGTGTTTTGTCAAACAAAAACAACTGCTCAGTTAATGCGACCTGTAACAATTTTGCTGGCGGATACAACTGCACATGTAAAAGTGGGTTCAACACAAGTAACGGTGGAATAGAATCTCTTTCAAACCAGTGTTTGGGTAATAATATAAGTGATAAATTGTTAGTTATTTTTTTGTTGCTAAATACTTTAGAGCACTTTAGCATTTACGATATACAAGTTTCTGTTTCAATATGTTGCAAAAACCAACAATATATTTTATGCTTACAGACATTAATGAGTGTGCTTTGTCAAACAAAAACAACTGCTCAGTTAATGCAATCTGTAACAATTTTGTTGGTGGATATAATTGCACATGTAAAAGTGGTTTCAACACAAGTAGCGGTGGAGTAGAGGCGCTCCTGAGCCAATGTCTTGGTAATAAAACTTATATTTGAACACATATTTTTATTTTTATTTGTGATTAAGCTGTTACTGCCGTTTTAGTAATTTGCATGCTTCTGTTTTAATTAGTCCCACAAAAAAACGATTTGATCAAAACAATTTTTTGTAAATTGGTTTTACTTGCTTGAAGCCCTATAAATCAGCGTGAAAAGGAGCAAAAGTGTCTCAAAGCATTAACAATAAATGACAGCCCGTGAAAGTTTGTCATTTCTGCAAGATTTATTGTCGCGCTGTTTTCAATAGCGTTGTTTGCGTAGAAAGAAACAAGTTTTTTTTGTTCTTTTTTCGACACAAAATGTCTACAGTATATTAGGCTTTTAAACAATGTTGAAAAAAGCGTAGTATGCGAAACTTTAGTTAAAAGAGAATGCATGCGCAAAGAAACCATTTGAAATGCTTTCGTCAAAAAAACAGTATGGAAGATAAAGGAGGCGGAAAACATGTTCTATTCCTCCTATGCTTTTTTTAAACCAAAGCGAACAACTAAAAGAAAAAAAAAAAGTTTTGTATATTTATTGTTTTAGAGCGTTGTTATATCTCAGTAAAAATTCATGAAACCTATTGTATTTTATGACCCTAGACATCAATGAATGTGAACTTTCAAGCAAAAACAACTGCTCTGCTAATGCCATATGCAATAATTTGGTCGGTGGATACAACTGCACATGTAAAAGTGGGTTCAATACTAGTGACGGAGGAATAGAATCTCTTTCAAATCAGTGTTTAGGTAATATAATTGAAGACAAGTATGTTATATTTTGTTGTCAACTTATTTTTTCTAAAACAATATTGCATTTTTTGATGTAATCGTTTCTTTTGAATATGTTACATAAGCATTGCAACTAACAAGTTTTTGTATGCTTATAGACGTTAATGAATGTGTTTTGTCAAACAAAAACAACTGCTCAGTTAATGCGACCTGTAACAATTTTGCTGGCGGATACAACTGCACATGTAAAAGTGGGTTCAACACAAGTAACGGTGGAATAGAATCTCTTTCAAACCAGTGTTTGGGTAATAATATAAGTGATAAATTGTTAGTTATTTTTTTGTTGCTAAATACTTTAGAGCACTTTAGCATTTACGATATACAAGTTTCTGTTTCAATATGTTGCAAAAACCAACAATATATTTTATGCTTACAGACATTAATGAGTGTGCTTTGTCAAACAAAAACAACTGCTCAGTTAATGCAATCTGTAACAATTTTGTTGGTGGATATAATTGCACATGTAAAAGTGGTTTCAACATAAGTAGCGGTGGAGTAGAGGCGCTCCTGAGCCAATGTCTTGGTAATAAAACTTATATTTGAACACATATTTATATTTTTATTTGTGATTAAGCTGTTACTGCCGTTTTAGTAATTTGCATGCTTCTGTTTTAATTAGTCCCACAAAAAAACGATTTGATCAAAACAATTTTTTGTAAATTGGTTTTACTTGCATGAAGCCCTATAAATCAGCGTGAAAAGGAGCAAAAGTGTCTCAAAGCATTAACAATAAATGACAGCCCGTGAAAGTTTGTCATTTCTGCAAGATTTATTGTCGCGCTGTTTTCAATAGCGTTGTTTGCGTAGAAAGAAACAAGTTTTTTTTGTTCTTTTTTCGACACAAAATGTCTACAGTATATTAGGCTTTTAAACAACGTTGAAAAAAGCGTAGTATGCGAAACTTTAGTTAAAAGAGAATGCATGCGCAAAGAAACCATTTGAAATGCTTTCGTCAAAAAAACAGTATGGAAGATAAAGGAGGCGGAAAACATGTTCTATTCCTCCTATGCTTTTTTTAAACCAAAGCGAACAACTAAAAGAAAAAAAAAAAGTTTTGTATATTTATTGTTTTAGAGCGTTGTTATATCTCAGTAAAAATTCATGAAACCTATTGTATTTTATGACCCTAGACATCAATGAATGTGAACTTTCAAGCAAAAACAACTGCTCTGCTAATGCCATATGCAATAATTTGGTCGGTGGATACAACTGCACATGTAAAAGTGGGTTCAATACTAGTGACGGAGGAATAGAATCTCTTTCAAATCAGTGTTTAGGTAATATAATTGAAGACAAGTATGTTATATTTTGTTGTCAACTTATTTTTTCTAAAACAATATTGCATTTTTTGATGTAATCGTTTCTTTTGAATATGTTACATAAGCATTGCAACTAACAAGTTTTTGTATGCTTATAGACGTTAATGAATGTGTTTTGTCAAACAAAAACAACTGCTCAGTTAATGCGACCTGTAACAATTTTGCTGGCGGATACAACTGCACATGTAAAAGTGGGTTCAACACAAGTAACGGTGGAATAGAATCTCTTTCAAACCAGTGTTTGGGTAATAATATAAGTGATAAATTGTTAGTTATTTTTTTGTTGCTAAATACTTTAGAGCACTTTAGCATTTACGATATACAAGTTTCTGTTTCAATATGTTGCAAAAACCAACAATATATTTTATGCTTACAGACATTAATGAGTGTGCTTTGTCAAACAAAAACAACTGCTCAGTTAATGCAATCTGTAACAATTTTGTTGGTGGATATAATTGCACATGTAAAAGTGGTTTCAACACAAGTAGCGGTGGAGTAGAGGCGCTCCTGAGCCAATGTCTTGGTAATAAAACTTATATTTGAACACATATTTATATTTTTATTTGTGATTAAGCTGTTACTGCCGTTTTAGTAATTTGCATGCTTCTGTTTTAATTAGTCCCACAAAAAAACGATTTGATCAAAACAATTTTTTGTAAATTGGTTTTACTTGCTTGAAGCCCTATAAATCAGCGTGAAAAGGAGCAAAAGTGTCTCAAAGCATTAACAATAAATGACAGCCCGTGAAAGTTTGTCATTTCTGCAAGATTTATTGTCGCGCTGTTTTCAATAGCGTTGTTTGCGTAGAAAGAAACAAGTTTTTTTTGTTCTTTTTTCGACACAAAATGTCTACAGTATATTAGGCTTTTAAACAACGTTGAAAAAAGCGTAGTATGCGAAACTTTAGTTAAAAGAGAATGCATGCGCAAAGAAACCATTTGAAATGCTTTCGTCAAAAAAACAGTATGAAAGATAAAGGAGGCGGAAAACATGTTCTATTCCTCCTATGCTTTTTTTAAACCAAAGCGAACAACTAAAAGAAAAAAAAAAAGTTTTGTATATTTATTGTTTTAGAGCGTTGTTATATCTCAGTAAAAATTCATGAAACCTATTGTATTTTATGACCCTAGACATCAATGAATGTGAACTTTCAAGCAAAAACAACTGCTCTGCTAATGCCATATGCAATAATTTGGTCGGTGGATACAACTGCACATGTAAAAGTGGGTTCAATACTAGTGACGGAGGAATAGAATCTCTTTCAAATCAGTGTTTAGGTAATATAATTGAAGACAAGTATGTTATATTTTGTTGTCAACTTATTTTTTCTAAAACAATATTGCATTTTTTGATGTAATCGTTTCTTTTGAATATGTTACATAAGCATTGCAACTAACAAGTTTTTGTATGCTTATAGACGTTAATGAATGTGTTTTGTCAAACAAAAACAACTGCTCAGTTAATGCGACCTGTAACAATTTTGCTGGCGGATACAACTGCACATGTAAAAGTGGGTTCAACACAAGTAACGGTGGAATAGAATCTCTTTCAAACCAGTGTTTGGGTAATAATATAAGTGATAAATTGTTAGTTATTTTTTTGTTGCTAAATACTTTAGAGCACTTTAGCATTTACGATATACAAGTTTCTGTTTCAATATGTTGCAAAAACCAACAATATATTTTATGCTTACAGACATTAATGAGTGTGCTTTGTCAAACAAAAACAACTGCTCAGTTAATGCAATCTGTAACAATTTTGTTGGTGGATATAATTGCACATGTAAAAGTGGTTTCAACACAAGTAGCGGTGGAGTAGAGGCGCTCCTGAGCCAATGTCTTGGTAATAAAACTTATATTTGAACACATATTTATATTTTTATTTGTGATTAAGCTGTTACTGCCGTTTTAGTAATTTGCATGCTTCTGTTTTAATTAGTCCCACAAAAAAACGATTTGATCAAAACAATTTTTTGTAAATTGGTTTTACTTGCTTGAAGCCCTATAAATCAGCGTGAAAAGGAGCAAAAGTGTCTCAAAGCATTAACAATAAATGACAGCCCGTGAAAGTTTGTCATTTCTGCAAGATTTATTGTCGCGCTGTTTTCAATAGCGTTGTTTGCGTAGAAAGAAACAAGTTTTTTTTGTTCTTTTTTCGACACAAAATGTCTACAGTATATTAGGCTTTTAAACAACGTTGAAAAAAGCGTAGTATGCGAAACTTTAGTTAAAAGAGAATGCATGCGCAAAGAAACCATTTGAAATGCTTTCGTCAAAAAAACAGTATGGAAGATAAAGGAGGCGGAAAACATGTTCTATTCCTCCTATGCTTTTTTTAAACCAAAGCGAACAACTAAAAGAAAAAAAAAAAGTTTTGTATATTTATTGTTTTAGAGCGTTGTTATATCTCAGTAAAAATTCATGAAACCTATTGTATTTTATGACCCTAGACATCAATGAATGTGAACTTTCAAGCAAAAACAACTGCTCTGCTAATGCCATATGCAATAATTTGGTCGGTGGATACAACTGCACATGTAAAAGTGGGTTCAATACTAGTGACGGAGGAATAGAATCTCTTTCAAATCAGTGTTTAGGTAATATAATTGAAGACAAGTATGTTATATTTTGTTGTCAACTTATTTTTTCTAAAACAATATTGCATTTTTTGATGTAATCGTTTCTTTTGAATATGTTACATAAGCATTGCAACTAACAAGTTTTTGTATGCTTATAGACGTTAATGAATGTGTTTTGTCAAACAAAAACAACTGCTCAGTTAATGCGACCTGTAACAATTTTGCTGGCGGATACAACTGCACATGTAAAAGTGGGTTCAACACAAGTAACGGTGGAATAGAATCTCTTTCAAACCAGTGTTTGGGTAATAATATAAGTGATAAATTGTTAGTTATTTTTTTGTTGCTAAATACTTTAGAGCACTTTAGCATTTACGATATACAAGTTTCTGTTTCAATATGTTGCAAAAACCAACAATATATTTTATGCTTACAGACATTAATGAGTGTGCTTTGTCAAACAAAAACAACTGCTCAGTTAATGCAATCTGTAACAATTTTGTTGGTGGATATAATTGCACATGTAAAAGTGGTTTCAACACAAGTAGCGGTGGAGTAGAGGCGCTCCTGAGCCAATGTCTTGGTAATAAAACTTATATTTGAACACATATTTATATTTTTATTTGTGATTAAGCTGTTACTGCCGTTTTAGTAATTTGCATGCTTCTGTTTTAATTAGTCCCACAAAAAAACGATTTGATCAAAACAATTTTTTGTAAATTGGTTTTACTTGCTTGAAGCCCTATAAATCAGCGTGAAAAGGAGCAAAAGTGTCTCAAAGCATTAACAATAAATGACAGCCCGTGAAAGTTTGTCATTTCTGCAAGATTTATTGTCGCGCTGTTTTCAATAGCGTTGTTTGCGTAGAAAGAAACAAGTTTTTTTTGTTCTTTTTTCGACACAAAATGTCTACAGTATATTAGGCTTTTAAACAACGTTGAAAAAAGCGTAGTATGCGAAACTTTAGTTAAAAGGGAATGCATGCGCAAAGAAACCATTTGAAATGCTTTCGTCAAAAAAACAGTATGGAAGATAAAGGAGGCGGAAAACATGTTCTATTCCTCCTATGCTTTTTTTAAACCAAAGCGAACAACTAAAAGAAAAAAAAAAAGTTTTGTATATTTATTGTTTTAGAGCGTTGTTATATCTCAGTAAAAATTCATGAAACCTATTGTATTTTATGACCCTAGACATCAATGAATGTGAACTTTCAAGCAAAAACAACTGCTCTGCTAATGCCATATGCAATAATTTGGTCGGTGGATACAACTGCACATGTAAAAGTGGGTTCAATACTAGTGACGGAGGAATAGAATCTCTTTCAAATCAGTGTTTAGGTAATATAATTGAAGACAAGTATGTTATATTTTGTTGTCAACTTATTTTTTCTAAAACAATATTGCATTTTTTGATGTAATCGTTTCTTTTGAATATGTTACATAAGCATTGCAACTAACAAGTTTTTGTATGCTTATAGACGTTAATGAATGTGTTTTGCCAAACAAAAACAACTGCTCAGTTAATGCGACCTGTAACAATTTTGCTGGCGGATACAACTGCACATGTAAAAGTGGGTTCAACACAAGTAACGGTGGAATAGAATCTCTTTCAAACCAGTGTTTGGGTAATAATATAAGTGATAAATTGTTAGTTATTTTTTTGTTGCTAAATACTTTAGAGCACTTTAGCATTTACGATATACAAGTTTCTGTTTCAATATGTTGCAAAAACCAACAATATATTTTATGCTTACAGACATTAATGAGTGTGCTTTGTCAAACAAAAACAACTGCTCAGTTAATGCAATCTGTAACAATTTTGTTGGTGGATATAATTGCACATGTAAAAGCGGTTTCAACACAAGTAGCGGTGGAGTAGAGGCGCTCCTGAGCCAATGTCTTGGTAATAAAACTTATATTTGAACACATATTTATATTTTTATTTGTGATTAAGCTGTTACTGCCGTTTTAGTAATTTGCATGCTTCTGTTTTAATTAGTCCCACAAAAAAACGATTTGATCAAAACAATTTTTTGTAAATTGGTTTTACTTGCTTGAAGCCCTATAAATCAGCGTGAAAAGGAGCAAAAGTGTCTCAAAGCATTAACAATAAATGACAGCCCGTGAAAGTTTGTCATTTCTGCAAGATTTATTGTCGCGCTGTTTTCAATAGCGTTGTTTGCGTAGAAAGAAACAAGTTTTTTTTGTTCTTTTTTCGACACAAAATGTCTACAGTATATTAGGCTTTTAAACAACGTTGAAAAAAGCGTAGTATGCGAAACTTTAGTTAAAAGAGAATGCATGCGCAAAGAAACCATTTGAAATGCTTTCGTCAAAAAAACAGTATGGAAGATAAAGGAGGCGGAAAACATGTTCTATTCCTCCTATGCTTTTTTTAAACCAAAGCGAACAACTAAAAGAAAAAAAAAAAGTTTTGTATATTTATTGTTTTAGAGCGTTGTTATATCTCAGTAAAAATTCATGAAACCTATTGTATTTTATGACCCTAGACATCAATGAATGTGAACTTTCAAGCAAAAACAACTGCTCTGCTAATGCCATATGCAATAATTTGGTCGGTGGATACAACTGCACATGTAAAAGTGGGTTCAATACTAGTGACGGAGGAATAGAATCTCTTTCAAATCAGTGTTTAGGTAATATAATTGAAGACAAGTATGTTATATTTTGTTGTCAACTTATTTTTTCTAAAACAATATTGCATTTTTTGATGTAATCGTTTCTTTTGAATATGTTACATAAGCATTGCAACTAACAAGTTTTTGTATGCTTATAGACGTTAATGAATGTGTTTTGCCAAACAAAAACAACTGCTCAGTTAATGCGACCTGTAACAATTTTGCTGGCGGATACAACTGCACATGTAAAAGTGGGTTCAACACAAGTAACGGTGGAATAGAATCTCTTTCAAACCAGTGTTTGGGTAATAATATAAGTGATAAATTGTTAGTTATTTTTTTGTTGCTAAATACTTTAGAGCACTTTAGCATTTACGATATACAAGTTTCTGTTTCAATATGTTGCAAAAACCAACAATATATTTTATGCTTACAGACATTAATGAGTGTGCTTTGTCAAACAAAAACAACTGCTCAGTTAATGCAATCTGTAACAATTTTGTTGGTGGATATAATTGCACATGTAAAAGCGGTTTCAACACAAGTAGCGGTGGAGTAGAGGCGCTCCTGAGCCAATGTCTTGGTAATAAAACTTATATTTGAACACATATTTATATTTTTATTTGTGATTAAGCTGTTACTGCCGTTTTAGTAATTTGCATGCTTCTGTTTTAATTAGTCCCACAAAAAAACGATTTGATCAAAACAATTTTTTGTAAATTGGTTTTACTTGCTTGAAGCCCTATAAATCAGCGTGAAAAGGAGCAAAAGTGTCTCAAAGCATTAACAATAAATGACAGCCCGTGAAAGTTTGTCATTTCTGCAAGATTTATTGTCGCGCTGTTTTCAATAGCGTTGTTTGCGTAGAAAGAAACAAGTTTTTTTTGTTCTTTTTTCGACACAAAATGTCTACAGTATATTAGGCTTTTAAACAACGTTGAAAAAAGCGTAGTATGCGAAACTTTAGTTAAAAGAGAATGCATGCGCAAAGAAACCATTTGAAATGCTTTCGTCAAAAAAACAGTATGGAAGATAAAGGAGGCGGAAAACATGTTCTATTCCTCCTATGCTTTTTTTAAACCAAAGCGAACAACTAAAAGAAAAAAAAAAAGTTTTGTATATTTATTGTTTTAGAGCGTTGTTATATCTCAGTAAAAATTCATGAAACCTATTGTATTTTATGACCCTAGACATCAATGAATGTGAACTTTCAAGCAAAAACAACTGCTCTGCTAATGCCATATGCAATAATTTGGTCGGTGGATACAACTGCACATGTAAAAGTGGGTTCAATACTAGTGACGGAGGAATAGAATCTCTTTCAAATCAGTGTTTAGGTAATATAATTGAAGACAAGTATGTTATATTTTGTTGTCAACTTATTTTTTCTAAAACAATATTGCATTTTTTGATGTAATCGTTTCTTTTGAATATGTTACATAAGCATTGCAACTAACAAGTTTTTGTATGCTTATAGACGTTAATGAATGTGTTTTGCCAAACAAAAACAACTGCTCAGTTAATGCGACCTGTAACAATTTTGCTGGCGGATACAACTGCACATGTAAAAGTGGGTTCAACACAAGTAACGGTGGAATAGAATCTCTTTCAAACCAGTGTTTGGGTAATAATATAAGTGATAAATTGTTAGTTATTTTTTTGTTGCTAAATACTTTAGAGCACTTTAGCATTTACGATATACAAGTTTCTGTTTCAATATGTTGCAAAAACCAACAATATATTTTATGCTTACAGACATTAATGAGTGTGCTTTGTCAAACAAAAACAACTGCTCAGTTAATGCAATCTGTAACAATTTTGTTGGTGGATATAATTGCACATGTAAAAGCGGTTTCAACACAAGTAGCGGTGGAGTAGAGGCGCTCCTGAGCCAATGTCTTGGTAATAAAACTTATATTTGAACACATATTTATATTTTTATTTGTGATTAAGCTGTTACTGCCGTTTTAGTAATTTGCATGCTTCTGTTTTAATTAGTCCCACAAAAAAACGATTTGATCAAAACAATTTTTTGTAAATTGGTTTTACTTGCTTGAAGCCCTATAAATCAGCGTGAAAAGGAGCAAAAGTGTCTCAAAGCATTAACAATAAATGACAGCCCGTGAAAGTTTGTCATTTCTGCAAGATTTATTGTCGCGCTGTTTTCAATAGCGTTGTTTGCGTAGAAAGAAACAAGTTTTTTTTGTTCTTTTTTCGACACAAAATGTCTACAGTATATTAGGCTTTTAAACAACGTTGAAAAAAGCGTAGTATGCGAAACTTTAGTTAAAAGAGAATGCATGCGCAAAGAAACCATTTGAAATGCTTTCGTCAAAAAAACAGTATGGAAGATAAAGGAGGCGGAAAACATGTTCTATTCCTCCTATGCTTTTTTTAAACCAAAGCGAACAACTAAAAGAAAAAAAAAAAGTTTTGTATATTTATTGTTTTAGAGCGTTGTTATATCTCAGTAAAAATTCATGAAACCTATTGTATTTTATGACCCTAGACATCAATGAATGTGAACTTTCAAGCAAAAACAACTGCTCTGCTAATGCCATATGCAATAATTTGGTCGGTGGATACAACTGCACATGTAAAAGTGGGTTCAATACTAGTGACGGAGGAATAGAATCTCTTTCAAATCAGTGTTTAGGTAATATAATTGAAGACAAGTATGTTATATTTTGTTGTCAACTTATTTTTTCTAAAACAATATTGCATTTTTTGATGTAATCGTTTCTTTTGAATATGTTACATAAGCATTGCAACTAACAAGTTTTTGTATGCTTATAGACGTTAATGAATGTGTTTTGCCAAACAAAAACAACTGCTCAGTTAATGCGACCTGTAACAATTTTGCTGGCGGATACAACTGCACATGTAAAAGTGGGTTCAACACAAGTAACGGTGGAATAGAATCTCTTTCAAACCAGTGTTTGGGTAATAATATAAGTGATAAATTGTTAGTTATTTTTTTGTTGCTAAATACTTTAGAGCACTTTAGCATTTACGATATACAAGTTTCTGTTTCAATATGTTGCAAAAACCAACAATATATTTTATGCTTACAGACATTAATGAGTGTGCTTTGTCAAACAAAAACAACTGCTCAGTTAATGCAATCTGTAACAATTTTGTTGGTGGATATAATTGCACATGTAAAAGCGGTTTCAACACAAGTAGCGGTGGAGTAGAGGCGCTCCTGAGCCAATGTCTTGGTAATAAAACTTATATTTGAACACATATTTATATTTTTATTTGTGATTAAGCTGTTACTGCCGTTTTAGTAATTTGCATGCTTCTGTTTTAATTAGTCCCACAAAAAAACGATTTGATCAAAACAATTTTTTGTAAATTGGTTTTACTTGCTTGAAGCCCTATAAATCAGCGTGAAAAGGAGCAAAAGTGTCTCAAAGCATTAACAATAAATGACAGCCCGTGAAAGTTTGTCATTTCTGCAAGATTTATTGTCGCGCTGTTTTCAATAGCGTTGTTTGCGTAGAAAGAAACAAGTTTTTTTTGTTCTTTTTTCGACACAAAATGTCTACAGTATATTAGGCTTTTAAACAACGTTGAAAAAAGCGTAGTATGCGAAACTTTAGTTAAAAGAGAATGCATGCGCAAAGAAACCATTTGAAATGCTTTCGTCAAAAAAACAGTATGGAAGATAAAGGAGGCGGAAAACATGTTCTATTCCTCCTATGCTTTTTTTAAACCAAAGCGAACAACTAAAAGAAAAAAAAAAAGTTTTGTATATTTATTGTTTTAGAGCGTTGTTATATCTCAGTAAAAATTCATGAAACCTATTGTATTTTATGACCCTAGACATCAATGAATGTGAACTTTCAAGCAAAAACAACTGCTCTGCTAATGCCATATGCAATAATTTGGTCGGTGGATACAACTGCACATGTAAAAGTGGGTTCAATACTAGTGACGGAGGAATAGAATCTCTTTCAATATTTACTTATTTTTTAATATTTCGTTATATTTCTTTTTTCATGTTTTTTTTTTTTATCATTTAATAAAGTTTGTGATTGAAAAAAAGTTAATGTTTCTAAACTTTTGCATGCTACTGTATGTGCTTCTTTTATAATATGTTACTTTGCAACTATTGAGTTATTTTACGGTTTTTGATTTTAAATTATTGGTTTTGCCAAACAAAAACAGGTGCTCAGTTAACGTAATATATAACAATCTGGTTGGTGGGTACAACTGAACATGTATAAGTGGTTTAAATACGAGTATCGATGGAATAGCATTGCTTACAGCTAATGCCTTCGTAATACAATATATTTACAGTAAACACATTCATTTAAATTCAACAAAATCAACAAATAAATAATAAAAAAGTACTTTGTGTAAAGTAAAGTATTTTGTGCTATTTTTCTTTTTTTTTTTTCTAAATCAAAGAAAGCTCTAATATTTTTGTAAATGTTTGTTCAAACATTCACATAAATATTACAGTTTTGATAACTTCTGAACTTTAAATAAATTTTACAGTTTAATATTAAAGTGCAAAATAAAGATTTTTAATTATTACTAATTAATCCTATTTAACTACAGACAATGTAAGATAACAAGGATTCATCTCTGACAAATGGTGCAAGTCAAGATTTATCAGATTTTCTGAAACATCATTTGTGATTGTATTATAGGCCTTAAGATAAAATTTACCATCAGCCCACAACACTTAATTCTAATTATGTCTTACTTCAACGATGGTTATATTGAAAAGAAACATTCAACAATAACAAATATTTCAAATGTTTTTTATTTGAGCAATTGTTGCCATGTTAATTCCCATGCCATGTTGAATTTGACAGCCAATTTTGACATGGCTCAGAAATTAGATATTTTTGTAAACATGCTAACAAAGATGTGCATGAGCCAACTTTTTATGAACAAAAATCTATAATATATATAACAAGTAAATTTGGGTCTCGTTATATTTCACACATAGATATCATTTCGATTCTCTGAGCTGGATCCAACTGAATCTTGTCTGGGATTCCTATTGGTTTTAGTAATTTGTAATTTTTTCAAATGTCAAGACTTAAAGGAGTCTTATTTTTTTTGCCACCAAAAAAAAAAGTTTTTATTTCAGAACAAAAACGTAAAGGTAATAACAAGATAATAAAAGTAAATGTAAAAATAAAAATAAAATAAAGTATAAAATAAGAATAAAAGAAACAAGATAATAAATCGCTAGAGTTATTAGGTGCATAATTATTTGGCTTGAATTTGAAAAATAGGTTGTAACTTCAAAATATATTTTAGTAGCAAAGACTTTTATAATGGTTTAATACAAAACTACTTAAAAATTTTTGTAATTATTTCTAATTGCCATTGAGATCACCTGATAATTAGCTTTAAAATAGTATAAATATATCTATAAAGATAACCAGAATCGGATTAAAGCATATAGAGACATAAACCAGAGAAGTTCTCGAGGACACACATTTGAATTATATAAACGATTTCTTTAGATGTTTTTATTACGTATTCTAAACAAAAAATAAATAATAAAATTAACAAAAAATAATAGTTTTACTTATATTCGAATATTAATTTAAGGAAACTTAAGAAACATTGTTATTTTAGACACTTATGTATGTAAATTAAAAATTTTTAAAATATATGTTAAATTTTTTTTTTTCAATGTTTAAAAGCATAAGTTATTTAAAAAGTGTATCAACTGGTATCCAGTTAATACACTTATAAAGTTGACTGTTTTTAAAATTGACTTTTTCATATTTTTTTATATATTTTGTTGTATTTCTGATATGGTTTAATGGTTACAGTTGCACCTTTTTATGGTTCAAAAAATTTGATTTTAAAGGTTTTAAAGATCAAAAAACCTTTAAAATCAAAACTTTTTTTGTTAAAACTTCAAATCTTATCAAAAAATTTAATTTGCGATTAAATACTTTTAAAATACTTTTCTGAAGTTTTAATTTTTTTTTTTTTTATGTTATTTTGTTCTGCTTGTTTTCTTTTTTGTTTTCTTCTTAGATTGTTTTTTTAGATTAAACCGTTTTTTTTTCTTCTCTCAAGAGGTTTTTCTCATTTTCTGGTTAAGATATATCTTTAAATATTTGATGCAACTTGCCTTCCTTATCTTAAAATTTTTACAAACTTGATTTAAAATTTTTATTGGTTATTTTTCTTTTTATTGATAAAACTAATTTTAAAGTAAAAAAATTTTAATTAAAAAAAGAATATTAATAAAAAAAAAGTTATTAAAAAAATCAATTAAAAAAAAATTTCAAATAACATTTTAATAAGTAGATAGTGGTTATTTTTTATTTGACAATAATGTCAAATTAAATAATTAAATTCCCTCTTTTAAATGTTTTTTTTTTTTTTAGCAACTGTTGCATTAATTTTATCAAACTCTGTAAAACTAATTGTTTTTGATGTTTTTGGTGTTTTTGAAAACTTAGGATATGTAAACTTTTTTTTCAATTTCTGATCCTTAAAAGCCGAACTATAATATAAACATATTAGATTAAGTGTCAACTTACCAGATGCAGATGGTTCATGAGGAATTTTGCATAAAGTTTGAACATAGTATTTATTGCATAGTTTTGATAACATTTGTTAAATTAATATATGTTAATTATTTAAATTTATGTATACTTTCTGCATAATTAATCACCATAAACAAGCTTTAAAACAAAACAAAATAATTTTCTCTGGAATAATTTTTTTTTATGTTTAAAATGAAAAAGAAACATAAATAAAAAGTACAATGCATAAATAAATGCTGGAAATCCTAAAATCTTATTATGAGTAATTTCTAAATCACTTTTATGTCATTGGATTTTTGGTCAAACGTTTGATTTTTGGTCAAAGAAAAAGAAATAATCAAAAAAATATTTTTTGTGAGAAATGCTGGTGTTGGGTTGGTTGCAACCAAGATGAGCAGATGTTTTTAATTTTTGACAAATAGAAGTTTCTGCTTCTTAAAACAATTACATAATACAGTATCTATTAGTAAAATGATATCTTACAACTCAGTCCCAATCTCTTCTTATATGTCAATTGAATATTTCAGTTACTAGCTGTTATAGTGTTAGGTATAAAAACGAATAAAATTTTTTTTTTAAAAAAACAAATAAAAGTTGTTCTGATTAAAGGTTGTTTGTATAATTTTATTTAAACGTTGCATAAATATTATTTCTTAAATTATAGAGTTTTAACAGTTAAATGTTTGTTTAGTTTTATTTAAATTTGGATAAACAGTTTTAGTTAAGTTTTATAGTTTTATATATAGTGGATAAATAATAGATCAGTGTTAAATCCACCATCTATAGGTTATTTTTATCCTGCCAAACTTGACATAACTTATTTAGTAGTACCAAATTTTATGCATAGTTTATACAGTCAAACTCTGTTTTAATACTGGTTTGTTTTATTGAATTTTCTTTTTTGTTTTCTGTATAAATGATATTATTTCTTACTAAATACATTTTTTCTTATTTGTAACGATTTGTAGACATCAATGAATGTGACTTTTCCAACAATAACAACTGCTCAGTTAATGCAATCTGTAATAATTTTGTTGGTGGATACAATTGCACATGTAAAAGTGGTTTCAACACAACTAACGGTGGAATTGAGTTGCTTTCAAATCAATGTCTAGGTAATATAGCTTTTCATAATAAGCATATAATTGTCTTTATTTTTCATATTGTGTTTTTGGAATAAAAAACTTCTGTCTTAATAAATCTAACAATGATCTGATGAAAATATTTTTTTGTAAGTTTGTTTTACTTACATGCAGCCTAATAATCAGCATGAACTGTTTTTAAATTGTCTTAAAACATTACCAAAAATTATCATTGCATCAAAGTTTATCCTTTATAAATTAGAGTATTGGCTATCAGCAAGTTTCACAAGCCTTATCCAATTAAAAACCTATAGACTATTTTTGTTCTATAATTTTAATTTTTCTAAATTCTTAATTTCCTAACTACATGATTTATTGTTTTGGGAAATTATCAATTCTAGCATAAAAAAGTACATTATTATCAGCTTGTAAACTAACTTTTAAAAAGTACTTGTTTTTTTCTTTCTTGTTTTTTTAAAACTGAAATAGCTTTTTATGGTATACTGTTTCCTATTTAATTATGTCATATAAATTTTTGTCTGTATATAATATAAACTTTTTATATAAGTATGTTATGTAAACTTTGAAAATAATTATTATTTTTTCTATGGTTATAGATATTGACGAATGTGCTTTGTCAAGCAAAAGCAATTGCTCAGTTAATGCAATATGTATAAATTTTGTTGGAGGGTACAATTGCATGTGTAAAAGTGGTTTCATTACAAGTATGGGTGAAGTAGAAACTCTAACAGACCTTTGTGTTGGTAATGAGATATATACTCGAATATTTACTCTATAATATTTAATCCAATATTTACTTCTGCTAAAATAGAATAATTTTTAACATATAAAAAGAAAGATTTTTTACAACTATTTATAACAAATCCTAATGCAATAAAATAGTTTTGAAAATTTTTAAATATTTTCTACATTTTTAGAAAGTATTATTAATAGTAATAATAATATTATTAAGTATAATTATATTATATTGTTATAGTAATAGAAATAAAAATAATAACAATAATAATAATAATGATAATAACAATAGCTTTAATTAAAATTAATAAGTTAAGTTCCAGTTGATATATAATGTATATATATATATATATATATATATATATATATATATATATATATATATACATATATATAATGTATACATTATATATATACATATATATATATATATATATATATATATATATATATATATATATATATATATACATATATATAATGTATACATATATATATATATATATGTATATATATATATATATATATATATATATATATATATATATATATATATATAATGTATACATATATATATATATATATATATATATATATATATATATATATATATATATATATATATAATCATAAAATATTTTGTTTACAGTATATACAACTTTAAAGCTTTATAAAATCTAGTTTTTTTAGTTTTGAAGCTTCGTTTAGTGTTTTTTTTTTTTGTGTGACATTACATTTTCCCTATGCAGCATCCAGCGGTTGTTGTCCATCATATTTGTATCCCATCGACCTTGATACCTTCTCTCCATTTCTTTTATATCTTGGTGAAACCTCTCACCTTGCTCTTCACTAACTGCACCAAGGTTTTCCGGGAAGTAATCCAAATTGGAGTTCAAAAAATGGAGTTTTAAATTCATTGAAAATCCCAGATTTTTAAAATTGCACAACATATTTTCTACGATATTTTTAAAGTTAGAGTCTGTCTGATTCCCTAAAAACTTTGTAACTACATCTTTAAAAGAATTCCAAGCTGATTTCTCAACATGGTTCATCACATTTTTGAAGTTGTTATCTTTAATTAGCTTACAAATGTCAGGATCAACAAAAACTTCCTCCTTCAGCTTTGCTTCAGACAGACCAAGAAACTTGCTTGAAATGTATTTAAATGTCTCACCATCTTTTAGCAATGCCTTCACAAACTGCCTCATCATGCCAAGTTTGATATGGAGTAGTGGTAGAAGGACCTTTTTAGGATTAATCAAAGATTCAAAGTGCATGTTTTTTTCTCCGACCTTCAATGTTCTTTTCGGCCACACTTTCTGGTTCCAGTGTTTAGTTTTAGCACGATTATCCCATTCACAAAGAAAACAGGGAAATTTTGTGTAACCACCTTGCTGTCCAAGTATCATAGAAATTACTTTAAGATCCCCACAAACTGTCCATTCGAATTCTTTGTACTTTAATTTATCCAAGGTCAATAAGTTTCTTTTAAATGCACTGAGTGACTAAAGGGTATTGATGCGTACTTATTCTCGTTGTGAAGTAAAACAGCTTTATACTTCTTTTCAAAGAATCAATAAACAGTCTCCAATTTTCAGTTATATGTTGAACTTTAAACATGGACATTAAACCATTGACCTACCAATGAAATCTTAAGATTTGTTGAGTTTGAGCATACATTTTTACTATGTAATATTGCTAATTGTCGGATGATGCATTGTAATCAAACCATTTACTACACTATTACTGTTTTATTACCATTATATATTCTTATTTAGTTCTATTACCATTATATACTACTACATTTTTTTATACTGTCCTGTACTATAATGTTCTATTTTTTTCTACCAGCAAAAGTTTTTGTCAAACTGATCATTTAGATTTTTACTGCTCCTTCCAAGATATGTTTATTAAAATAAAAAAACAAACTTCATTATAATAAGTTTATGTTATTTAAGAATTTTATTTATTCAAACATATTTGTCTTATAAGCCTATTGAAGAATCAAATAGTAACAAGGTGTGCTTGCAAAAACTTTGTTTTGATTTCCAAAAGCTTTTATCATAACTAAGTTAGAACAGCTATTTTATCAAAGTAATTTTATCTTTAAATAACTACTATTATATTATTATTATAATTAATTATTTTTATAATTTTTAATGTAAACCATATTTTTAAATATTTCAGTTATAATAATTAAAATGAATTTCTATCATTTCAGAGGATAGAGGGGAGGACATTTTCACAATCATCTCTAAAAGTTAAAATTTTCGAAATTTAAAATTAGCTCTAAATCTAAATCACCCAAAAAAAATGTTTAACATATGGCTAAAATTTATCTGGTCTTATTACAGTATTTAGTTATCTGGTCTTATTATGTTCGTACTTAGTTAGTTTTACAATATTTTTTAATATTGTAAAGAATTTTAATTTATTGAGTTTTCATGTTTTCTTTCGGTGGTATGGTAAGTTATTTATTTAGTCATTTTTATTTATGTTGTATAGTAGAAAAATAATTTATAAAGCATAAGTGGCAATGACGTTTGTCTGACAGGATAAACTAGTTATTAGTACTGATCCTCATCAAAATGCCAGTAATCAACATAGGAAACGCCAGTAATAATAGATGCAACTCCGAGGAGATGTTCATTACTTAATCACTGCACAAATTTTGTTTACACATTAATATTTTTTACGCATTAATATTTTTTTTCCTTCCTGAAGCCTTTCATTGTTGTAAGCATATTTTTTATTTTGTAATGAGTTTTTTGTTTTATAAGTTTTTTTTTGGTAATATATTTGTTGTATATCTTCATTCATTTTAGTTTTTATAAAAATATTTTATTTTTTATTATTGTAAGTACTTTTTATGCACATTGTCTTCCTTATTTATTTTTAAATTTTCCTCTATTAATCTTTATTTTTGTCTTGACAACTGTCAATATATGCTTTGTTCAAAAAATAATTCTCCTTTATTCTAATGTACTTCATTTCTTCCCTTTGGTATTCACTGCTTGTATCTGACCATTTGGCGAATTTAAATGCCAAAGTTTTTAAATAAAACTAATTAGCTCTAAATCAAAAATTTGGGCTTTATTAAGCTTGGTCCCAACTTTATTTGGCTTAGTCCCAACTTTATTAGGCTTAATCCCAACTTTATTAAGATTTTTCTTTTGATGAATTTTTTTTTTTTTAGTTTATTTAAAGTTATTGTTTCTATTTTGTTAAATAATTTTTTTGTACTTAATTTATAGTATTATAATTTTAGTCAATCAATGCATTGTTGCAAATCCTTGCAATTGGTCAAACAGTCTTTGCTTATACAATAATGGGAACTATGAGTGCAAGTGTAAACCTGGTTGGGTTTTGGGTAACAGCAATGTCAGCTGTGTTGGTATAATTAATTTCTAAACTCACTTGTTGATAAATTCTCATCAGCTTTAAATATGTTCTACAATTTTGTTTGCATTATTTAGATTTTGATGAATGTTCTCAAGGTGTATGTGGAGATTTGAACTGTGTGAACAAAATTGGTTCTTATGAGTGTCAGTGCTTGTTTGGAACAATATTCAATTCATCATCAATGTTGTGTGAAGGTTTTTTCAAATTATTGTGCATTTAAAATTACAGAATGTTACATATAAATACATACATACATACATTCATTTATACATACATACATACATACATACATACATACATACATACATACATACATACATACATACATACATACATACATACATACATACATACATACATACATACATACATACATACATACATACATACATGCACACATACATACATACATACATACATACATACATACATACATACATACATACATACATACATACATACATACATACATACATACATACATACATACATACATACATACATACATAATAAATATATAATATATATATACATATATATAATATATATATAATATGTATATATATTACATATATACATAAAACATTTATATATATATATGTTATGAATGTTATACACATATAATATTTATATATGTATGTATGTTTTGAACATATACTGAGAAAATTACTTCTCTAAGGAATTTTTTTTTTAATTTTTAGTGAATATTATATGTTCTAAAATATAAACAAAAAGTTCAACTACTAGATATTTTCATAAAAATATTTTGGAAATTCTGAAATCAGGGTTGAGGCAGCATCGGACAATTTTCATCATGCATATTTGGACGTACTGCGTGTCTCTTAACAGTATTATCAGCAAATTAAGTTATTAAATATTAGAAAATTAAAGTTTAAAAATGGTGCGCAACTATAAAAAAAGTTGTGAAAGATATATAAATAAAGTAAATTTAAAAATTACTGTAAAATATTTTAAAAAAACAATTTATATATATATATGCATATATTATATATATATATATATATATATATATATATATATATATATATATATATATATATATATATATATATATATATATATATATATATATATACATATATATATAATATATGTATATATATATATATATATATATATATATATGTATATATATATATATATATATATATATATATATATATATATATATATATATATATATATATATATATATATAATATATATATATAATATATGCATATATATATATATATATATATATATATATATATATATATATATATATATATATATGCATATATATATATATGCATATATTTGTAAATATACATATATATCTAACATATATATATATGTTAGGCTAGGTCATAAAAATTTTTTTCAGAGTTGTTAAATGATCTAGAAAGTTGCTATAGGTGCTACTTATTGTAAAAAAGTAAAAAACATTTTAACCAACTGGTGTTTTGTACTTGCAACGTTATTGCTAAGATTCACCCTAAAAAGGCTCACAGCTAAAGTAATTAGAAATTTATCAAGCACTTACTATATCCATATCCAAGGCCAGCAGGAAGAGGTGTTTATTTTTTTTTTTTTTTTGGGGGGGGGGTAATTAACATACGCATGTTAATGTACTTAAAAAATTTACCAAAAGAACCAAGCTCAAAATAAACATAATATTAAATTTATTGATATTTTTAGTTCAATGAACAATATAATGAAATGTCATTTACAAAAAGTCTGAATTGCAGCTAACACTAGGCAAGTTTGTCCTGGATCCAGCACCCTGTAAAATCATTCCATGTTGTGATTCATGTCCAAAATTGGTTGAGCTTGCTACAAAGATATTTTTAATAGGACGATCAATTGCCTGAGAGTGACAGGTATACCAAAAATAAAATCAAACTGATAGTATTAAAGATTTTCATTCTCAATAGCTTCTAGCAATGGTGGTGGTGTGAGTTCAGCTGCAGTCCAGTTAATCATACCAATGTAAGTTAAAGCACACACACAGAAGAGCTACACAAATTACCTCTCAAATTAATTAATTTCCTGGCATTGCAATCTGTAAAGACATAATTTTGTAACTATCTGTTACAAAGTTATGTCTAACCTTGCTGCACTGCTAAGCATGCTCTAAGAAGATATTTCTGATATGAACTTAGATTGTACTTACCTCATTGCACCTAAATACATTTCTATAGCATCTATATACATTTTCCTTTCAGTTTTTAGGTCCAACCAGAAAGACTAATCTGTAAAAGGTATTTTATTATATAAAAGGTATTTTCTCAATATATACATACATCAAATACAGTTTGAAATGGTTTCAAGCAGTCTTGGTTAGTAATGTCTTTTTAAAACTAGGATATTTGCTGTGTAGGAGATACTTAGAACTTCCTGTGCTACAGCTGTCACTCTCTTTTTCATTCAATCATATTTTTTGGGCTTTAACTAGTAGTCTTAGAGTCTGTAAACATCACTAGAGCTATAAATTTGTTTTTTTTTTTTTTCATAACTGCAGGCTGACCTAGAACAGAGTTTTTAGTCACAACTCTTGTAATCATTTTTGACATCATTTTTTAACAATCAATACAATGGAAACCAACATGTCCAACCTACAATAGATAATAAATAGAAAAGATTAATAATAAACAATTGATTGAAATAAACCTCTTTGTAACAAGAATTATTACTTTTTATTAACAATCTACAATATAAAACAAAACATGTTAAACACGTATATTCTTATAATATATTATTAGCCTTTTTTTAGCTTTGGTGGGGGTAAATTTACTTTATGTTAGGATTACTTTGGGTAATCCTAACATAAATATAAGTTAAGATATTATTAATTTATGGTTATTCATACATATCTAATATAATTTCATTTCACCATACATAAAATTAACTAAAACTAAAAGAAGCCTTTATAAAATCAAAAACTTAAACTTTATAAAATCAAAAACTTAAAACTTGAAAGAATTTCCCTTAATAAAATTGAAATGCGTTCCCATATTATTTCATCATTTTTAATTAAAAGTTGCATATACTTAATGAACTCAAAATTTAGAAACTCTTCTAGTACCTTGGTATTTGACCAATAGGATAACTTCTTATGCTATAGCCAAAAATAAAAATTATGACCCGCCCTATCATATATATATATATATATATATATATATATATATACATATATATATATATATATATATATATATATATATATATATATATATATATATATATATACATATATATATATACATATATATATATATATATATATATATATATATATATATATATATATATATATATATATATATATATATATATATATATATATATATATATAATTAATACAATTTTAAACGTAAAAGGTCTGCTTTTGAGTTGATATTTTTAAAAATTAAAATATTAAATGAAACATTGGGTTCACCCATAACACAATTCCAGCATTTTAGCTTTAAAAAATTTATTTTTGTTCCATAGTTTAGTCATTTAAGAGTTATTATTTATAATAAAGAAGATAATATGATAAATTGAAAATTTAAAATATATTTCATTCAAAAAAATATAGCATAAACTGTTTGTTAATTTATTCATTATTTGTTATATTATTATGATTTTTTTTTTTTAGTTGTAAATGAATGCCAAGGAATGATAAATGAGTATATATGCAATCCAGCTGAAGGCTTGTGTGTTAATGTTCGCTTTCCTTTACAACCTAAATGTCTCTGTCCTAAAGGCTATGCAATATCATTAGAAAAACGTACATGTGAAGGTTTGCATATAATTTATTGTGTGTTCAATTTGATATGATTCAGTTTCAAAAACTAATATTGTTTAAAACTTTAGTGTTGAGTCAGGTTGACCAAATTAGTGTTGATCAGTTATAACCAAGGTCAGACAATGTTACCTCAAATTGGTTAAGATTTATACATTTTCTAATAAAATAAACTTGATGCTTTTAAAGCTCTCAGTGCACAGTGGGCCAGAAACATGAAAAAGTGATCAAAATTAATAACTACAAAGAGAAAAAAGATACAAACTTTTTAAAAAATTCTATCCACTAAATTGACAATGCAAATTTCGAATATCTTATCGAAAATTATCAAAAATCTAAAAATCACGTGTACAGGGTGTGCTGAAGTATGAGGGTCTTCTGTAAAAATGAAAGGTTAATAATAAAATTCTTAAAGTAAAGTTGCATTAAAGCTACTATTATCAAATGTTGCATTTGTACCAAATCGGTTATGCAAATTTTGAATATTTTATCAAAAATTAACAAGTTTGAAAATAACATGAATATAATGTACCTACAAAAGTATGTGGTTTATTTTATAAAAAGAAAATTAATAACGATATTTTAAAAGTGTAGTTACAGCTACTATTATTAAGTAGTTTTTTTGTATACCAGATTGAAGTATCTTACTATTGCATTAGAGCATACCTCGACTAGAGTTGGTTAGCCCAAAATAGGTAATAAGAAGATATATCCAAAAATGCATACTTGTCTAATCAATAAAGTGTAATGGGATCTAAAAAATTTTTAACACCATATTAGTAATTAGAAATGAATTCCTATTAAAATAGCATATATACACTTGTGCCAGTAAAATGTAGAACATTTTTAAAACGAGAAAATAAAAACTCGTAAAACTGTAATTTATAATCATTTTTATCATCATTATCAAATATTCTCTGCTTCATAGCTTTATAATCTCAGCTTCATAGCTTTATAATTTTATCATGTCTCAAATAATTTTTATTAAAATATTTACAAAAATTTTAGTAAATGTTCTTACTTTCACTGGCACACCCTGTAAAACATTATACAAAAATGTTAACAAAAATAAGTTGCACACACTTGCGTATTTCATTATTAAATATTCAAAACTTCAGAATCACACGGTTTTAAGAGCTGTACTACTCCATCCGGCAAAATTTTCAATTTGTATGATGTTGAACTTGTGCGTAATGAACTAATAATTGGATCAGATGTGTAGAGAAGTCTTTGCATCAAGTCTTCATTCGTCTTCAAACGGGAGTCAAACTTTGTCGGAATTTTTTAAAGAGCATACCAATTGGCAAAGTCATTTTTTCAATTACTAAATATCCATGTATTAAAATGCGATGCACGCTTTGAGGCATATAATACCAAGGATAAGTTATACAGAATAGTTTTGCAGTTTCAATGCAATAGATCCTAAATTTTTCTGAATCAATTTGAAGTCCAGATGACAGTGTGGCAAGAACAACATGGAGCCTTTTTAATAGTTTTAAATCAATATCAAGAATTTGAGAAATAGTATCAGCATTTTGAAAAAACCGCCTTGCTTGAGGTCCAGTATTACTAGTTCCTGCACCACCAGGATTAGGAAAATCAACAACCAAGCCAATTTTGTTTATTAGGCGATCCTGAAGCATTTTCTTTTGTTCTTGAAATGCAATTTTATCTTCAGCTGCATGTGCTTGCCACTTTTGAAATGGCAATTTATATGAAACATGGAGAATGAATTCCATAAATCGTATCCAAGCATGCAAAGTATTGAGGCCATATTTTAAACAACTAGGACTTACTTCTTTCAACGCAATTTGATCAATACAATTCATTTCCTTGGGTGTAGCTCCACAGAGAGAACAACACTGACTTGAGGATGTTACATAGGATAAGGCTGTAGCTACTTTTCCATCTATCATCGTAATTTCCAAAATATGCTTCATTTGAACGTCTTCTATTATTGTTGGCTGAAGGTTTGATTGGTTTTTAAAAACTTCTTCATCTCTCAAATGGTTCACCGTTTCTGTAACAAAAGAAAATCTAACAGGGCGGCAGTACAGGGTAGATGAGGACCTTGGATTTCTCCATATGATTTTTTTTCTTCTTGCATATACCCATACATTTCTATTGGTACAATGCAAGTTATAAAAAAACTTTGCTCTGCTTGAAGATTTCTAGTATTAGGATTATTGTTAGAAAGTGGTTGTTTGAAAATACTTAGGCATGTGGCAGCATCAAACCCAATTTTATAACATAGTGTTAAACCTGTAATTGCTGGAATAGTAGTGTGAACCAGTTGTTGAAGTTGATAAATTCTTGTTGCTGTGTGATCGATTAGACCTTGCAAATTTATTTCGACTCCCTGATTGCTTATTATCCATGAATTTGTAGATGGAAAACACTTTTCCTTAGGGTATAAACAGCAGCCATGTTGCATAGCTTGCAATCTAAGATGCTGATATGAATTTTTTGTGAGGTTGCAATCTAATAGCAAAGCCAGAGCTTCATCAGCAGAATACATAGTGACTTTTAAATTAGAAATTCCTTTTGCAACAGACTTAACAATTTTTGACTCCGCAACTTTATCTTTGTTCTTTAATCAAGCACGAGCTGCACTGAGCAGAACTTCAGTTGAATGAGATGTATCAAGTTCTAAGGACCTTCTTTTTTTAGTAGATAAACTTCCTTCATCCTCGGGAATCTTTGGACGTCCACGTTTAGAGGTAAATGAGGAAGATGATGATACATTTGTGGAAGTTGAAGACTCATTATAAAGTTCGTGTTTAAAAGTAGAAGATGCAACTGAAGTTGAAGCAAGCATTTAAATGGCAGGTTGTGACAGCCAAACCGAATTTTGATGAACAAAACAATCAAAAGTCCTAGATACTGTTTTCCACTTGGTATTTAAATTAAGTAAAAATAAATTGATAGTCTTCTTAATTATGCTGTTGTCAATACCATAACTGGAGCATTTAGACACAAGAAAGGTAGACAAAAGTTTCTTATTTCGTGAATCAAATAAAGCATTTAACTTTCCACTGATTCCCGTAAAAAGTCAAATAGAGTGTTGTTTAGAATCAATTCATCATCTTTTGGTTTTGTATTACTCTCCATTATCAGTTTCTTGATTAAAATAAACTTAAGTTAGAAATTAGACAATATAATTTATTGCAAATAAATTTTATAATTAACCTTTAACTTATATGATGCAACTTTTTAAGCTATAAAATTCTTCATTTACAACTTACCAACAAATAGTAGCAAGCGATAATGATGCCGTGTATACAAACTTATTCTGAATAAACCCCCTAGTATCATTAAAATGCGACATCAATATAACGCAGTATAAACATTAAAGTCAAATTTACGTAATAAACAATAAAAATTATTTAATCATTCATCTTTCAAGAGCTTAAAACAACGATTACATCATTGAGTATTGCACACATTAACAATAAGATGGAGCGCAAGCAATTATGTAATTTTCAAAATCTCTTTGTCATAAAACTAATTACAGTATACGCACAACTTTTACAATCTGCTTTACTTTATAAATTTGTTATCGATAAGACTTTACATGACTTTCTAAATTTCTGATACAGCTGCTTATTATACCATTCACAAATGGTATAGAACATACTCTGGCATTTTACATACATGCATGTATCATACGCATTTGTGAGTGATAAAGCTAGTCAAAATAAACTTTAGTTATAGTTTTTATTTATGTACATTTCATTCAGAGTGTAATAAAATAATACGTGATAAATAAATTTAGCATCTGCACATACTATATGAATTATTATACAAATGCTATTAAAACTACCATGTTAAAAAGCACATTTGAAATAGCACGTGAAGCTCGCAAATTACCATGCAGCTTATTATGGGGCGCACAGGGGCAGATAATTTTAATAAAAAATTTTTTGTTATCATCCCATAAGTAATTAAATAAAATATTAGCAACATGTTTTTACATGTTTTTTAATAACACGTTTAGTTACTTGGCTACGTAGCTCCTTATGACCCCATTTGTTACTGCTTTAGTAAATAAATAAATAACTTTGCAAAATAATTAGTTATATGTTACCATGTATTATCAAATTACAAAACTACAATACATTTACATATATATGTAGATAATAACTTCAATTTACTATGTTATCATAAAGTTTTATGAACCTTATATATATAATATTTAAAAAGCAACATTTTGATTCTGAAGACAATGCATTATAAAATCAATTTAACAATAATTCTATTAACTAAAACATAATATTACAACCATTTAAATTTTCTTCAGGTTACTCACTTTCAAAAAAGATTAAAAGTTTTTGAATTGTTAAAGGTTGGTTTTGCTCATTTTTTTTTATTTTTGCTCACTGCTGGCCCACTGTGCAGTGTAATAATCTTAGATCATTCTTGTTGTATGTACCATTGTGTTTACTGATTTTAATTTTTTTCAAAATTATATATTAAAAGTTAATATTTACAAAGTCAATTTTAAACTATTTTTTATTATCTTCTACTATAAATAAAAAATTTATAAATTGGTATGTTTATTTAATTACAAATAGAAAAAAAATTAAAGTATTCAATTTGTGGAGAAAGCAGAGTTTTTTTTTTTTTTTTTTTTTTTCAGAGTATTTATAACTGTTATTTTAGCATTTATAACTAGTTTATAATCATTATTTTGATTTTACACTCATTTAATATTTAGTATTGCTTCCTAAATATTGATGACTTCAAATATGCGACTTGACGTACTAGTCACAAGATTTTGGATAGTCTCTATAGATATTTCATTCCAGCTTCTCTGATATGAGTTTTCAACTCCAATGTAAATTCAATTTGCTTACTATTTTCTTAAACCTTTCTAGTTTTCTATTAAGTCAATGTAGTCCTGTGAATTTATATTTGTTAAAGTCCATGCCATACAATAGCTCTTTTAGTACAATTATTAATTTTACATTTGCCACCAGTTCCCTTATAAGTTCCATAATTAACGCCCATCTGGAGGTAATTATTACCCACTTTTAGGGATCTTTTAATTTTGTTTTTGCTATTTCCTGATTAGAAGCTTGTATCTTTGTATGCTTTGATTAAAGTGATTTCTTCATTTGTTAAAGCTTACAACCCATTTAAAATTCAGGTATCAAAAACCAAATGTTAAAAACATTATGAGCACTAATTTCACAGTCTTTGTTTAACTTACAAATAATAATAAAAAATTAAGTCACAAATGCGTATCACCAGATCAAAATATGCAAGTAAACTGAAAATAATTATTGATAAGGCTAATATCAAGTATTATACATTTTATGGTTTTGTTAAATATACCGCAATTTAATTATGCTACATTATAATCTAAAAAGTTGTTGTTTGTTACAATAATTATATAGGTGTGGATAGAAAACATGCACCACACGTTTGCTAACAGATTTGCAAAATATTGGATTAGAACATGGTGATGCTAATTCTATTTTCTCCACGGTATTTTAAAAGTTTATGGAAAACAATTTTTAAAACTTGAATTGTTGTTTATTTGATATAATGAAGAAAACTTTTTCTTTAATGAAGTTAAAAGTTAATAACAATTAAAATGCTTTCAGGGTATTCAAAAATATCTAGTATCATAGGCTTAACAAGGTACTTTATTTCCAAATTATTTTTTAAAAAATAGTTATTTTGTTAAATTGTAGGTAAATAGTTTAAGTGATATATATTTATGATTTGAAATGCTATCACTTTCAATGGTCGCTCTGTAAATTACACCATTTACAACAAAGTAAGAATGTCAATTTGTCAAACTACTTGGAAAATTTGACAAACAATGCGTTTAATTGCTTTTAAAGTAGAAAGTTTGATATTTTCATGCACAACTGGGCAACTTGCTGTAAAGCAAAAACTGTCAAGACAAGACTCCAAGAAAATGCAATTAACGTTGCATTTATTTATTATGTTATTTATTTCATGGCTTTGGCCATGGGGCAAGAACGTTACCTTATTTAAAACAGGTGCAATTTACCTGATTTAAAGTTATTGTCTTGTAAAAGTACTCCTAGGAAAATGGGGTAAGAAGAAAAGTACTGTTGATCAGCTTTGCATCCTTTCTTTGTCTATTAGTCTGTTGGCAATGTAATCCTTTGTTACAGGTAGACAGGCCCCAAAATCCGCATAATTTTTTCATATCTGTCATACCTATTGTAACAAATAAAGAATTTTATTTTTGAGGAGCTTTTTTTGTACTTTTCTATGGTAAAATTTCTTTATAGGGGTTTAGAAGTATTTTTGTATTACTTGAAGTTTATGTATATTTTGGTAGGCGACCTCAAAAACTAATGGCTTAGTTTGTTTATAACTTTTTTTCAAGTTGTTGAAACTTTCTCATATTTTGGATGAGCTTGTTATAATAAATTTATCTTCATAAAATACTTTAATTGCAAACATATATTTTATGGAAGTACCAAAAGCACCTTGAAAACTACATGGCTGGGACCCCAAAAACCATAGGATTTTCTTTAGTTTAAAAATAAATTTAATAGATACTATTAAAATTTCAAGTTATGGAGTAGATTTTTATTAGTTGTAACTATCTATTTGATAATTGCGTGTTTTTATAGAGATATATTTCAAGATTTTTTGGATTGAGAATTGTTTTGTTTTGTTTTGTATAATAGCCTTTTTAATAATATCCTATTACTTGATTAGACAAATAAATAAAGATATACACCAATAAAAAAAACTTCCAAGTGCATTTGCAAATGATGTTACTAAATCTAAGTTCTAATGTTAAGCTTTTATAAAAAAAAGACTGCATTGGAAAAAAAACTTGAAATTGTTGTTCAATGGTGTAAATGAAACAATGTAAAAGAACTTTCATATCTTTTGGAGTTGCACGCTGCAAACTTTAAAAAGTATGAATAAGATAAGACAAAGTCTAACAACCAACTCAATATTGTCATTAGTTATGTTTGGACATGTGAAATTGAGAACCAGTTCTTTTGTTATATTGACAGCAGTCAATATAACACAAGTTTCTAGAAGTTTATGAACACTAAAAATCCTTTTTTATTTTGAATTTGGTCAACATAATATTTTTAAAGTTTAAATTATAACAGTATGTATAACTGTGGTATTAAAAATGCTAACTGTTTATGGTGGACAATTTATTTTAATTTATTTATTTCTACTACAGTGTGCATAGATAGATATAGTTTCTCTCAAACATAGATATCTGTACACTTTTTGAACACTGTGCGACATGCTTGTAGAATATCTTTAATGATGTTTTTTATTTACTCTTGCCATGGTAACTTGAAATATATAATGAGTGTTGTTGTTATTTCTTTTAGATGTCAATGAGTGCTTAACGTGGTGTTTAGGTCCAAATGCAAAATGTCAAAACTATGTTGGTGGTTATCAGTGCACGTGTGCTGCTGGGTTTTCATTTAATTACGGAATGCATCAATGTACTCGTGAGTATTAATGATTTAAAGAAAGAAAAAAATTTTTTTTGAAATTTTCATATATTTAAAAATGTTTTTTTTTTTTCTTTTTTTTAAAATTACTCTTCTTTTTTATAGTCATAAATGAAAACATCAATTAATGAACATTATTTAGTAATAATTAATTAATTAATTAACACTAATTAATTATTTAGGAATCAAAAATGAAACTTCAGACAAACTTTATAAAGTAATCACGGTGTTAAAAAGAAGAGGCTGTCGTTCTCTTCGTCAGAAATGTAGTTAATCGAAAAGTTTTGAAAAAATATAATAAAATAATTAGTATTTAAAGTTCAAATCTGATAAGTTCCATCTAATAAAAAATTCCAATTAAGATATTTATAAACTTATAAAATTATAAAAATTAGTAGAAAAATTTGACTTGTTTTTTAATCTGACTTGTCAAAATCGGCTTTAAAAACTCAACTAAATTATGTCGTGTTTTTGTTTAAACTTTTTGTGAAATAATAAATTTTTAAATAATTTTTTTTGTTCTAATTGTATCATATTTGTAATATATAATGAAATAAATGTTTTAAATTACTTTTATTTGAGTTGTTTGTTTGTTTATATATATATATATATATATATATATATATATATATATATATATATATATATATATATATATATATATATATATATATATATATATATATATATATATATATATATATTTAAGGCAACTATATATATATATATTTTTAAGGCAACTATATATATATATTTTTAAGGCATATATATATATATATATATATATATATATATATATATATATATATATATATATATATATATATATATATATATAGCATATAACTATATATATATATATATATTTTTAAGGCAATTAAGGCAACTCTCCCTTATATATATATATATATATATATATATATATATATATATATATATATATATATATATATATATATATATATACATATATAT